TGGCCTGGTCGCCCCTCACAGTCCCCCCGCCGGTCTGGTCGCCCCACACAGCCTGCTTGTTCAGTCGTTTGGTCGTCCCTCACTAACCCCCTGCCAGCCTGGTTATAGGTAGCCATCTTGTGAGGGCATGAGAGTTAATTTGCATATTACCTCTTTATTATATAGGATTTTTTATTCATGTTATCTTCAGGATCTGGGAGCAGGATGAGAATAATTTTAAGTTATTAGTTTATTTGCAACATCTTACCAGGAAGGGTAGTTTTGAAAAGAGATTTTAGTGAAAGAGAATGTTTGTTTTTCTAAAGTGCTACAATTCCGTGTCATTCTCAAAGAACAGAGCATAGCCTGTACATGTGTTTCAGATACCTGCCAAGTGCTGGGCCACGAAGGTGAGCTCATTGAAATTCCTTTGAATGTCCTTTGAATCCATGCCAAGCCCTATACCAGGCACTGGGGGTTTAGATAGTAAGACCTTCCAAACTTTAGGTTGACTGTAGTCTAGTAGAAAGAAGTAAGACTGAGACCCTGAAATCTAAACCCACCGCTTCTTGCTTCCTCCCAAAGAGCAGACAGTGAGAGCTCAGAGTCACCCGGGTGACTCTCCACAGTCCACAAATGTGCAGAGCGGGCCCTTCAGCTGAGCCTCATTTCCTGTCACTCTGCTGTAACTCCAGAAAAATGTAACTACATGTTCTCACCACTTCCATGTCTTAGCACATGCTGTTCCCTCTTCCAGCAGTGTCATCTCACCCTAGGCAAAATCAGCTAGGTACTTTCCCAAACTCCTCTGTTCTGAGAAGCCATTCCACCCGTTTCAGTTAGACCCATCTCTGCTGCCTGAGCACTTTCCGTGTCCCTCTCTTTAATATCTCGCTCTATTTCACTTGTTGGTTTCCCCTCCTGATCCATTAGTTTCTCACAGGTGGAGAGTTTTTCCTGTTCATCCTGGTATTTCTAAATTAATAAAATTTAGTTGACTGAATAAAATTGAAAACAAGAAGAATTAGCCAGAGACAAGAGAAAGAAACTCAAAGAGAGAAAAGGAAGTTCTTGTGATGGAAGACAGCAAAAAACCAACAAGTCTTTTGTTGTAACAAATCAATGTGTGATTTAGGAAAGACTTGGGTCCCCAATTTGCCCCCAGAGAGGAAGTGACTGCCCTATTTCTAATTCAGAACTATGAGGAAACGTGCAAGTAGAGGACTGGGAAGATGCTGTTCTCTTGGACAAATGTACCACCTTAGAACTTTAACAAGTAACATAAAGTAAACATATGACCTTGAAATTTACAAAGTTGAAATAGCACTAATACTAATGCACCGATGGTGCTCTGTGGCAGTGTTTTTCAAACTGCAGTTGTAACCTATTCCTGGGTTGTGGCAATCTTTTTTTTATAAGAGAAAAACACAAAATATAAATAGAAAATATCAGAGTATGCTGCAGGTATTATTGTTTCATGAAACTTTTGCTTCCAGTATATACATAGGTATCAAATGTTAGGCAGATCAATCATCATTGAAGGTTTGCTTGTCCTTACCCCAGGCAGGTTGGACTAAATGATTCTCAATTTTCTAATTCATTTTTGAGACCAACATGTTCCTAATTTTTCATTCAATTTTCTGAGCCCAGTCTGCTCTCTATAATGTTTTGAGTTCTTCTCCCCCTCTTACCACTCCCAGCCATTTCCACTGCCCGCCCCCCATCATCTCTAGTTTGGGATGAGCATGGTAAGTTAAAGATATCTATTTTTTTAATATATTTTTATTGATTTCAGAGAGAAAGGGAGAGGGAGAGAGAGATAGAAACATTAATAATAAGAGAAGAGCCCACAATCTGGGCATGT